ATGCAGTTCAATATGCAACTACATTTCTAGAGAAGTTACAGGGAGCCTATCACCTGGCCATTGGTGCCTCTTCATGACAATGCAGATGAGGATAAATAACAATAGGATGTCAAAGGAACAGCCAGGACCTGTAAGAGGGGGACTGCCAGGTGAGAAAAAGTATCTCACAGCTAAAACTCGACCCCTTTCTCATGACGAAGAATCTTCAGGGCTCTAGGAGGGTATAAAATATGGGGAGCTAGGAGGGTAGGTTGGATTAAGGTAATCCACAGAAATCAGTTTTAAGGAAATTCTGTCCTGTATTTCTCCAGGCAGTCGGGAAACTCCACCTAAAGGAAGGTCAAAAGCCTCTCGTACTTACTGTCCCAGAAGAAAGGAAGGGAATCAAAGGAGGAAAGGTGATTGACTGATAAGGAGAATGCTTTTCTAAAACAAAGCTGGCTTAGACTAGCTTGTTTATTATTGGCTGCCTGGAATATGGGAATAATAATTGTGAAGATATAGATTCACCTTGCAGAGGATAGGGAGCAGGGAGCAAGAGGTACAAGGATAGTTTTTCTGCTATAAAACACCTTTGTGACTTGAAAGTTTTTTTACAGGTCAGAGTGTAGCAATATAACTTGAAATTGTAATCTTTTCATTTTCCTGTTCTACACTTTCCTGTAAATGATAACATCCACATTACCTTGAGATGAGGTAGGATTATTATGGTAGTAATGAAAATAGCAAGGAGAAGTTTTTTAGACTTTCAGACTCATTTCTGAGAATCAAATGGGATGTCTGAAAAAAACAAACCATAGAATTTGTGCCATGACGATAGAATTAAGAGTACAAGGAAGGAAATGACTCCATTCTTTCTATTTGTCAGAATGGGGTTTGACCCCTCTTGGGGGAGACAATGCTTCCATGGTTCTTTCACTTTTCTGAAAAAGCTTGTAGCAGCTTCCATTCTGGGCTTTTTTTTTTTTTTTAGAACAAACATACTTAAAGATAGAGATATTGACTCTGGGGGAGAGGGCAAATTTGTTTTCCAACCAATATAATAAAGATAATGTTTCTCCCTGGGGCAAAGGTTGAGCTTGTTTGCTAGTAGCCTCCTTATAAGAGTGGGAATTTCATAAGTTCGGGCTTTCTCAGCTGTGGCAAAAACCGACTTGTGCACAGCATACCTGGACCTACTTCCATGGCCCCACAATACCTGGGGGACGAGGAAAACCAAAGTGAATATAAAACTCATGCTGTCTGTCACACCATGAGTAATCAAATCCACTGCTTCAGCCCTGGGAGTCTCAAGTGTCTGCCATGATCTGTGAAAGTGTAGAAGGGTAGCACGTAGCTTGAAAATAAGACAAAACCTTAGCTATCTTCACCTCTCTGGTCTGGGACAGGAGACAATAGGCCATGTCCTGGGGATGGGGAGTAGGACGATCATCAAAAAGGAACAGAGTCAGAGTTGAGAGACTGTCAAGGACCTATGTAGGGAAGTAGCCATGGACCCCTTAAAAGCGCAGATCACCTGCAGAACATTTATGTCCATTGGAGAAAATACTGCACTTATGCTGTTTCCCTAGCAATGGTTCTCATTCAAGAACAAAATGACTTCCCCAGCGGGCTTTTAGAAATACATGTAGGGAGGTTTTGGTTGTCAAAATAATAGGGCAGTGGTGGGGAAAATACTGACATAAGAGTGTCTGGGGACCAAGTGTGCTAAATGGTCACACACAGTGAAGGCTTGACCTTCCCCAACTCCCAAATAGCATCACCTTTAAGAAACGCTAGTCAGTGTGGAGAGCAAGGCTGTCATCAACAGCCACCTGCCAATTGTGAGGAATTTTCCAGAAGGATGCTTGCCCCTGCCCCAAGACTTTGCAAGCACATAGCTAAAGCTTACATATGGATGCCCTTTACTTTCAAAGGCCCTGAACTGATAAGCATTCCCTTTGTGGGGGCAAGAGGAAAGAGAAAATTTACTTGAGTGGAACTGGACAAAGTGAAATACTCCCCACCAAGCCCCTGTATATCTGAATAGATTATATTTTTTTATGAGGACTAGTTCATCAATAATTACTTGTATATTTTAAGTGGTAAAAAATATTATTGACATTAACTAGAATCAGCTTCCATTACTGTGTGAATAACAGCAAAACAGCACACATTTATTTCAACTTGACGAGTATTTATTGAACACTTGGTACATGATAGGTGCAATGTTAGGCGCTAGAGAAATAAAAATGGCTTACAAAGACCTCACAACCCTCCAGGGGAAACAGACTCATACTCAACTAATTACAACAGAACATATTAAACCAGGCACAGAATCTGTTCTTGCATAAATGTTCCTCATGATCTTCAGTCTCAATCATCCACACACACACCAAAAAAAGTTACAGAAAACGAACTTGGAATGTACAAACTAGTGTTATTAGGACACCAATGTTTGTCTTCTAGTATCATGTTCCTTTAGCAGGAATCACAGAGAAAAGGATGCAGCTCTCCATAATAGTACAGGAAAAGTAGGTATTCTACATTAGAATATGAGAAACAGATAATTTGGCTCAAGTGGGAGGGACAGAAGAGGGCTGCTTGTCACCAGCACCAGTTCCTGCCCCCCCTTCTTGAGGAGTTGTGTGCAGGAGAGCCAGAGCTGAGGTACGGCTAGGATACTTAGCGTAGCCAGTGTCCACCTCTGAACATAGTGACAGAGAACATCTCCTCTTCTCAACTTCAAGAATCCCATGTTTCTTTGCTTCCTGTTTCAACATAATTGTGGATAGTTATCATTTATATTATTTGGTATAAAACTAAGACCAGGAGGTCTTTCAACAGCATATGCTGTGTGAGTGCATCTTCTTTCTAGGAAAAAGACAAAATTTAAACTCAGATTCCTAGTATATATAATAAACTGAAGTAAAAATGAGCAACATTCCTTTCAAATGAAAGTATTGATTGATAAAAAGTAATATATGCATATAAAGGAAACATAATTTCTCTTGACTTTATGATGTTTTTGTAACTCTTGCAAATACATACTGTGCTCTAAATTGGTATTTCCAGCTATGCAGTGGAAAAAACACCAAAAAATTCACATAAGTTGCATATGTCCCAAACTCAAGCTATTTATATGTAAATCTGGAAATAGATAATAAAATCATTACAAATTGACAAAAGTGGAGGGGAGGGATGTTTAGCGATGACCATGATTGAATTTTTCTAATGAGAGGCTTCATCTGTAGTTCAAAAATAGCCAGATACCTGAAAGAACAAAAGAATGTTCTAATGAAATAGAAAATGAAAACTTTGTGTAATAAACACAAAGCCTCAAGGATCGACATGTTTAAAAAAAAACAACAACCCTTTTTGTTATCATTTTCTAATCAGAGATCTTAAGAAAGCAGCACTTATAAAATATTCTCCAAATCAGAATCTTTGCTTCTTTCACCAAGTTGAATGATTCCCATTGTATTACAAAAACATCAACTGGGTGTTTCTCCTTTTCCTGCCCTTCAACATTGCCTCATTCCCATGAAACAAACTTAATATATTCTCTGATACTTTCTGTGAGATTAGTATCTGCAATTTATAGGTGAAGAAACTTAGGTTCACAAGCAACTTGTGTGCAATACTGTCTTACCCTAAAGTAGGTACTATGGTACTAGGGCCTAAGTATGAAAAATAGTTAAGGAAATGCTTCATTAGCATTTTTCTGTTTATTTTATTTTCTCATGTAGGAGAGTTTTCAAGTGCATATACCACATGGTAAGTTGCATCTTCTTTTTAGAATAACATCATTATTTTTTTCACTCTTTTAATTGTATTTTTTCCATTTCTATTTATCTCCCTTCTACCCACCTCCCCCCTGCAGTCACCACACTATTACCCATGTCTGTGAGTCCTCTTTCCTTTTGGCTCTATCCCTCCACCCCCTAACCCCCACCATTATTTTTTTCAATTATTTCATTTAAAAGAACTGATAATTGAAATCCTTTCACATGTACAATATAGTACAATAATGGCATTCCTCCTCACAATATCATTCCTACCCCTATGGAAAAAAATAGGAATAGATTTTAATTATGATTCAGTTCTCTTTATTAATTCTGAACAAAAAGCTAATGTATTTTCTTGGAATGTACCATACTGTTGGTTTGTTTTTTTTTTAATGACAGGTACTTATTTTGTAGGAATGCTAAAGTAATATGAATCATAGAATTCAAATCTTAAACATAAATACATTTCTAGCTTTTTTCCTATGAGAAAAATCCATCTTTAATGTTCTCCTTTTTTTCTCTAGGTGAGGCAGCTCGAGATCAAATACATGCTTATTCCTTTCTTCTAAGAAGAACCATTCTCTTTACTTTTTATTTAATCCAACTGCACAATTGGACATATTTTTTATATACAATTTTCCATACAACTTAGCTATATGACATGGTCTGAAAAAAAGGATATAGGTAAAAATGTGGCATTCTATTAAATGTAATAATCCTATTAATAATGATAATTCTATTTTAATATATCTCTTCCTAGAAACCTATGCTTAAAATATCATAACTGCCACTTCTTTTTTTTTTAAATTGTATTTATTTATTTTTTTAAAGATTGTATTTATTTTTAGAGAGAGGAGAGGGGAGGGATAAAAAGAGGAAGAGAAACATTGATGTGAGAGAGACATTAATGGGTTGCCTCTCATATGGGCACCCATGGGGGACCAAACCCACAACCCAGACACACGCCCTGACACGCCTTTCACTTTGGGGGATGATGCCCAACCAACTGAGTCACACTGGTCAGGGCATAACTATCATTTCTTTTTAAAACCAGACATAAAATACCTGAACCAAATCCACATATTACCAGTGATGAGTTCCTTCTAAACTAAGCACTTATTTCTATGAGGAAATAAAAATCATTTTCCAAAAAATACTTTCAAAATCTCTTAATGACTGAGTTGTATGTTTGAGAGTAAAGAGATACTTTTTACCTGCTCTCAGAAGAAATATTCAGCCTAAGAGATAATTGGGAAAGGAGTCTTTCTGCTCTTCATAATCGGCCAGTGCAGAGGCAATAAGTTCTGCCTGCAAAGAGAGAGGTCTGGCATTTTCTTTCATGGACAAATCACTTGGAAACCTTTGAAGATCAAGACCTCTTCCCTTAAAATACGCCTGAAGGGTTCTGAAAAACTAAAGAGAAAAAGGAAATGTTCAATTGCCATATGTAAATTAAACAGCAAAAATACTCAAAGATGAATTTTTTTCCCTTGAATATAGGGCTTATCTAATTGGCGGGAAGTGGAAAACTCAGAAAGAGAAGTACAATTTTGGCTACTTCTCCTTCCCCTTCTCCTCCACTGTTCTCCACCCTGCCTTCTTTCCAACATTTCAACCTCAAACAAGATAATTCACCATTCTTAGTGGAAATTGAGAGAAGAATACCAATTATTTAACAGCACTAGTCAGAGGGCTGATTGTAAACCATCTTTGAACACCAACGTCATAGATTAAATTGAACTCCACAGTGATTAGAGCTTGGCACCTCCTCTCTGATTGAAAATAAGACCCCAGTCACCGTCTTCTGAAATAGTTTTTGTTCTGACATGGACTTCTCAGCTTTCCTTTAGGAAATGAATAAATACATAGCAGCTGTGCAAAGGGCTATTTGATTATTTTAATCCTATGTTGTTATATTTCACATCAATGTATATAAAAGATCATTTACAAATGTAATGTGCTCTGTGCGTATTAGTTCATTTCTAAAAATAAACTTGTTTCTCCTTACAGAGGCAAATGAAAACTGACTAGAGGAACCATAGGATGCCAGCTACTAGGCTAGCAAAACTCTGGTCTGGTCCTGCTGGGGCATCTTCTTGCCCCTTGGGAACCTTGTCTGCATGGCGCTCTGGCCGAGCGCCGTACACACGAATCCTGAGAAGACATCGATTGCACCCGCAGCCCAGCATGTCCCAGTGGAGGTTCTCACCAGCTCTCGGTTCCTGGGGTTGTCGAGTGGCTTCCACTGCCCTTTGTTTCTCAGTGTGTTTCCATGGATAGGCCCAAGTAGCACCAGGGCAACACACAGCAGCAGGAATGCTTTGGGCATGGTGGGACGAAGGCGAGTGAAAGGAAAGATGGGGGAAGTGGCAATGGTCACAGCTGAGAGAGAGAGAGAGAGGGGAGAGAGAGAGAAGAGAGAGAGGAGGGCAAATGTAGAAGAAAGAGGAAACATTTTTAAAGGGAGACAAGGTAGAAGAAATAGTATCTTGGTTCACCTGAATTTGCAACCTCGTTTTTTTCCCAGATTCATTTTCAAATAAAACCGCCAAAATCCAGCTGATGAGCTTAAAGGAGTCCATGAAAATGGAAAAATAGTACAATGATAAGCAAAGTAATTACAAATACAACCTACCAAGTCTGAGTATACTTTTAAAATGCACTTTGTTACCTCCAAAGAAAGCAAAATTCTTAAACAAACAAACAAAAAACACCCCAAACCAATCTTAAATTACCCCTGTGTGTTAAGACAGCAGTCTCAACAGTAATGCAGTAACGACCATGTGTGATGCCTGGTGGATACTGCAACTCTCAAGGGGGCCACTTTGTAAACTATGGAATTGCCTAACCACTATGCTGTACACCTGGAACTAATATAAAATAACACTAAATGTCAAAAAAAGACAGCAGTCTCAAAAAAAAGAAGAAAAAGAAAAACCCCAAACTGAGAACTGCACTTTACACACATGCCTGAGACAGACGCACACCACACCAGCATAAGTAAAGGTCGTCTCCCACCCCAAGATGTGAAATGGAAACAAAACGCGCAGAAAGAGCTAATAAAGCTTACTGTGAGTTTGGCTTGGGCTGGCCCTGGTTGGTTCCCCTGCCTGCAGGCCACAAGGGAATGCATGGCTACTTATAACCAGAGGATCAACTGCAGGTGGAGGCAGTGACGTGACCAAGGGGAGTTCAAAAATAATGATTCCATTTTCAACCACAACAAAAATATCCTTAAGAATCACGTCTTCAAACTTGTTCAATGACAAACAATGTGTCCTATAAATGTAGCAACCACTGACCATCTTATGTGGCTTTTATGAAACACACAAGGTATTTACAAAAAGCAAAGTGGCTTTCTCCTTTTTCACTTTTAAGAGAAGGTGTATTATGCACAGCAGCTGGAAATATGATGTGATCATCCCACCTAATAGAACGCTCTTTGGGAGATAATCAGCTTTTGAAATTAACAGCATTTTTTTTTTTTTTTTGGAACAGACAGTTCTATTGAAAGGGACAAAATTGCTCTTTATGACCTACACCTTATATTTCTTCTGAGAATCTCAAGAATCTTTGCAAGCTTTAAATAGCAGCATCGTTTTTCATAATGCTCTCTCAAAATAGAACTATAAGATAGCGTGTCTTTTATGGAAAAAAGAAAAATTACCTACAGCATCCTCTTGCTGAATAAATGTAATCATAGAAAAATGATAGGGTTGAGAAATTGGATTTGATGAGTTATGAAGTTGCTTTGCTTCCAATAATTCAGAACAAGCTCTTTGCTGAAAGGCTAGTAATCTGAACTGAAAATCAGAATTCCTGGCTATGGTTTCAGCCTCTCATCTTGACCTTGGGCAAGTGACTATGACCTTCATTTGTTCATTTCTTTGTTTTTTCATTCAACAAATTTTTACTGAGTACCTACTATGTGCCAGGATTAGCACAGGCTTTGAGGATAAAATGATAAGAATAATAAATATAGTTATTGCCCTCATGGGAGTAGCATATTAGTGAGCAAGACAGACATTAATCGAATCGTTATATAACAAAATGGATACATACTAATGACGAAGAGAAGCTGGGTGCTAGGAGAGTGTAGAACAGGGAGACGTGGTTTAGTCTCAAGGGTCAGGGAAGCTTCTGTGAAGTGACCTTACATCTGGTAGTAGAAGTTACCTAGGCAACCTCAGGCAGATAGAGGGAGACGAGTTTCAAACACGGTGAACAACAGGGCCAAACCCCGTGGCTGAAAGGAACATGGCACATCAAAGCAATGGAAAGCAAGTAGGTACATGGGGTTCAAGACAAAGATGGAGAGGTAGTCGGAGGATCACCCTTCTGCCGCCTGCAGTGATAAGCAGTGGGAGGATTTTAAGCATCACAGCAGCTTGATCAGAACTGCATTTTAAAAAGGGTATTCTCGGTGCAGTGGGAGGACAGATTGAGGTAGAGAAGAGGGGTGAGGGAGACCAGTTAAGTGGTTACTGCTGTGGTCTAGACAGGACAAGACGTTAGATTGGATTAGTATGTTAGCACAGAGGCAGAAATGTGGGCAGATCTGAGAGGTAGATAGAAGGTATTGGTAATATAGTGGATAATACAAGAAGCAGAGCTAAGACGAAGAGAGTTTCAAAAACAACCCCTAGGTCTCAGGATTACGCAGGTGAATGGACTACAGTGCCGTTCACCAGTATATCAAACACTGATGTGGATAGATGAAAGTCCGCAGTTCTGTTTGGGACATGCTGCATTTGAGGAGCCAATTGGATACACAGGTCTGGAGCTCAGAGGGGAAGTCTGGGAAGGAGGAGTAAATATGAGAGGTATTGGCATATAAATGAGTAAGATTACCTCAGTAAAGATTAAAGAATAAGAAGAAAAGCTGGCTTAGGGCTTGAGCTTTGAGAAATTTTAACGTGCAGCAGCCATATGCAGTACAAAAGATATCCTGGAAGTAGGGGGTAAACCAGGAGAGAATAAAAGCAAGAGAAGAAAGTGTTTCAAGAAAGGACAGATCGAGTAAAATTAGGAGAGAAAAGGGTCCATGGAACATGAAACAAACTGTTGTGGTAGGTGGAGGTGGAGGTCAGGTTAGAAGTGAGTGGATGGAGCCCTGCCTGGTGTGTGGATTGAGTGCTGGCCTGCAAACCAAAGGGTTGCCAGTTCGACTCCCAGTCAGGGCACATGCCTGGGCTGTAGGCCAGGTCCCTGGTGGGAAGCGTGTGAGAGACAACCACACATTGGTGTTTCTCTCCCTCTCTTTCTCCCTCCCTTCTCCCCTCTCTAAAAATTAATAAATAAAATCTTAAAAAAAAAAAAAAAAGAAGTGGATGGAGAAGAAAGAGAAGGCGTGAGTACAAATAGCTCCTGAGGAGTTCAGCTGTGAAAAGACAGTTGTGGGAGAGAGAAGGCAGTAACTGGAGGGGAAATCAAGTCAGGGAACTGTGGTGTCATCATTGTTTTGTTGTTGTTTTTGTTGTTTTTTTATGGAAACCATTCAGTCTTTCTTCCTTCCTTCCTTCCTTCCTTCCTTCCTTCCTTCCGTCCTTCCTTCCTTTCTTTCTTTCTTTCCTTTTTATTTAATTTATTGAGGTGCCACTGGTTAACAAAATTATATAGGTTTCAGGTGCACAATTTCACAGCACATTATCTATACACTGTATTGTGTGTCCATCACCCCAAGTCAAGTCTCCTTCCATCATATTTATCCTCCCCTTACCCTCTCCCTCCCCCACCCACTCCCACCCTACCCTGGCAATCACCACACTGTTGTTTGTGTCCTGACCTAGTGAAGGAAAAAGGCACAGAAGTCCGGGAAGCACAGAGAATCCTAAACAAGATGAACCCAAAGGAGGACACACTAGGACACATCATAACTAAAATGGCAAAGGTTAAAGACAACAAGAGAACCTTATTAGCCACAGAAAAGCAGTTACGTACAAGGGAGCTCCCGTAAGACTGTCAGTTGATTCGTCATCATTGTTTTTAATGTGAGAGATTTGAGTTTGTTTAAATGTCAGTGGTTAAGCAAGTAAATGACTATGCTGTAATGTCATTACATCGACTCTCCTGAAAACTCCAGGACTTTGACATCAAAATACTAATAATATTGAAGTATTGAGTTGTTAATGTGATTATAACAAAGTCACTACACGGTAAACTCTTTAGACAATGCTCATCCCTCACATTACCAGTGCTGAGTTGAGCCCAACATATAGACAATGCACTTTTTGAATGAGGATAAATTAGAGTTTCATAGACATTTTTCTATGGGTAACGTTTTTAAAAAAAGATTTTATTTATTTTTAGAGAGAGGGGAAGGGAGGGAGAAGGAAAGGGAGAGAAACTTTAATGTGTGAGAGAAACATTGATCAGTTGCCTCTCTCATACCCCCAACCGGGGACCTGGTCTGCAACCCAGGCCTTTTGGTTTGGGGGGAGTGTGCCCAACCCACTAAGCCATACCAGACAGGACTGAATAATTTCTAACTTCAATTCTATTTGCATTTAAAAAAAAAAGCAGCTCACTTGTTCTCCCTTTTATGAGCTCCCATTTAAGAAATATTTAGTTTCTCAAAGGAGAAGTGAACTAAAGGTAACACATATGGGAAGACCAAAAACACCTGGAATTATCTTCTGGAGGGTGGGCCCCTTATAGTAGAGGCTTCCCCCTCTGCCTGAGTGTTCTAGGAACCCACCTGTATCAGCTTACCTGCTGGCATTGGTGTGAGAGGTTGCACTGAGCTTCTGTGAATTTTTTTTGAAGACTCCTTCAATGGTATTTGCCCACCTCACGATAAGGGATTTATGAGCGCACCTGCCCACTCCTGCTGAGTGTTCAGCAGTTTTTGACCAAAAACAGCATCACTCGCATGCCCCACCCTCCCTCTTCACCTGATCTCACCCTGAGAGACTTCTTTTGTTACCCCAAATGGAAGAAGTCCTCAAAGGGAAACATTTTTCTGATGTGAAAGAAGTGAAACAAAAAACGATGGAAGTGCTAAAAGGCATCAAAATCGATGAGTTCAAAAACTGTTTTGAGCAGTGGAGAAAAGTCTTGATAGGTGTATGGCATCAAACAGAGAGCACTTTGAAGATGACTGAAGTTTAACTATGTGAGACTAAATACACAATTTACAAATACATTCTGTTTTTTCTTGGGTCCCCCCTCATAGATATTATCAACTTGCTCACTAAGGTTGGAGTTTTGCTGATTATTAAAATAAATTATATATTTAAATAAAACAATGGTTTTTAATTCATTTAATTGTTTCTTAAATATATAAATCTCTGTTTTTGAAGAGCAGAATGTATTGATAAAGCTGATGAT